ATCACATGTTGAAGTTTCCGGGCCAAAATTATCGAAAAATTTTGTTTAGAAATGGATTTTTCTAAATATGTATTTCGAAAGCTCAAACTACGGTCAAAAAAATTTAGTGTTGAAAAATTGAAAATTTTCTAAAGTTGTTCAAAAATCTTCAGAAATTATGGGAAAATACATTTCCATGAACTAATTCGAAAAACTAACGTGCTGATGATTCCAGACCCAGATTTTTGAAAATATTTCGAAAATTATCTTTTTTTGTAGACTCTGGGAAAACTGTTGGAATTTTCGAAGAAATAAAGTTGAAAATAATTTCTACAAGTGAAAATCTACAAGAAAATGTCTTTAGATAATTTTCGTAGGATATTTGAAAAACGGTTAAAAAATTCATTGAAAATTTCAGATTTTTTAAAAATGATCCAAAAACTCTAAAAAAATTCTGAAAAATACATTTCAACCAACTAATTCGAGAAACATCACGTGTTGAAGGTTCCGGGCCAAAATTTTCGGAAAATTTTGTTTGAAAGTGGATTTTTCTAAATATTTTGAAAGCTCGAACTACGGCCAAAAAAATTTAGATGGGGAGGAGAGTACCTACTGAAGAATTGAAAATTTTCGAAAATTGTATTTTTTTTTGTAAATTCTGGAAAAATTGCTTGAATTTTCGAATAAATAAAGTTGAAAATAACTTCAACAAGTGAAAATCTACAAGAAAATGTGTTTAGATAATTTCATAGGATGATTGAAAAACGGTAAAAAAATTCATTGAAAATTTCGGATTTTTGAAAAGTGATTCAAAAGTTCTAAAAAAATCTGGAAAATACATTTCAACCAATTGATTCGAAAAACATCACATGTTGAAGTTTCCGGGCCAAAATTATCGAAAAATTTTGTTTAGAAATGGATTTTTCTAAATATGTATTTCGAAAGCTCAAACTACGGTCAAAAAAATTTAGTGTTGAAAAATTGAAAATTTTTTAAAGTTATCCAAAAATCTTTAAAACTTATGGGAAAGTACATTTCCAAGAACTAATTCGAAAAACTAAAGTTCTAATGATTCCAAACCCAGGTTTTGAAAATACCTAGAAAATTGTCATTTTTTTGTAGATTCTGGGAAAATTGCTTGAATTTTCGAAGAAATAAAGTTGAAAATAATTTCTACAAAAGAAAATCTACAAGAAAATGGTCTTTAGATAATTTTCACAGGATGCTTGAAAAACGGTCAAAAAATTCATTGAAAATTTCAGATTTTTTAAAAATGATCCAAAAACTAAAAAAATTCTGCAAAATACATTTCAACCAACTAATTCGAGAAACATCACTTGTTGAAGGTTCTGGGCCAAAATTTTCGAAAAATTTTGTTTGAAAATGGATTTTTCTAAATATTTTGAAAGCTCGAACTACGGCCAAAAAAATTTAGATGGGGAGGAGAGAGTACCTACTGAAGAATTGAAAATTTTCGAAAATTGTATTTTTTTTTTGTAAATTCTGAAAAATTGCTTGAATTTTCGAATAAATAAAGTTGAAAATAACTTCTACAAGTGAAAATCTACAAGAAAATGTCTTTAGATAATTTCGTAGGATGATTGAAAACCGTCAAAAAATTCATTGAAAATTTCGGATTTTTGAAAAGTGATTCAAAAGTTCGAAAAACATCACGTGTTGAAGGTTCCTGGCCAAAAATATCGAAAAAGTTTGTTTGAAAATGGATTTTTCTAAATATTTCGAAAGTTCAAACTACGGTGAAAAAAATTTACTGTTAAAAAATTGAAAATTTTCTAAAGTTATCCAAAAATCTTTAAAAATTATGGGAAAATACATTTCCATGAACTAATTCGAAAAACTAACGTGCTGATGATTCCAGACCCAGATTTTTGCAAATATTTCCAAAATTGTTTTTTTTTTTTTGTAGATTCTGGAAAAACTGTTGGAATTTTCGAAGAAATAAAATTGAAAATAACTTCTACAAGTGATAATCTAAGAAAATGTCTTTAAAAAATTTCGTAGGATGATTGAAAAACGGTCAAAAAATTCATTGAATAGTTCAGATTTTTGAAAAGTTATCCAAGTTCTAAAAAAATCTGGAGAATACCTTTCAACCAGTTGATTCGAAAAACATCACATGTTAAAGGTTTCGGGCCAAAATTATCGAAAAATTTTGTTTGGAAATGGATTTTTCTAAATATTTCGAAAGCTAAAATTCGGTCAACAAAATTTAGTGTTGAAAACTTGAAAATTTTCTAAAGTTATCCAAAAATCTTCAGAAATTATGGGAAAATACATTTCCATGAACTAATTCGAAAAACTAACGTGTTGATGATTCCAGACCCATTTTTCAAAATATCTCCAAAATTATCATTTTTTTTTTGTAGACTCTGGGAAAGCTGTTGGAATTTTCGAAGAAATAAAGTTGAAAATAACTTCTACAAGTGAAAATCTACAAGAAAATGTGTTTAGAAAATTTCGTAGGATGACTGAAAAACGGTCAAAAAATTCATTGAAAATTTCACATTTTAAAAAAGAGATCCAAAAATTCTAAAAAAAATCTGGAAAATACATTTCAACCAATTGATTCGAAAAACGTCACATGTTGAAGGTCCCGGGCCAACATTATCGAAAAATCGTGTTTGATAATGGATTTTTTTAAATATCTGGAAAGCTCAAACTGTAGTTAAAAAATTTAGTGTTGAAAACTCGAAAATTTTCTAAAGTTATCCAAAAATGTTAAAAATGATGGGAAAATACATTTCCGTGTGCTGATTCGCAAAATGTAACGTGCTGATGATGCCAGATCCAGATTTTTGAAAATATCTCGAAAATTGTCATTTTTTTTATAGATTCTGAGAAAATTGTTGGAATTTTCGAACATATAAAGTTGAAAATAACTTCTACAAGTGAAAATCTACAAGAAAATGTCTTTAGATAATTTTCGTAGCTTGCTTGAAAAACGATCAAAAAATTCATTGGAAATTTTAGATTTTTAGAAAGTGGTCCAAAAATTCTAAAAAAATTCTGGAAAATACATTTCGACCAACTGATTCGAAAAACATCACGTGTTGAAGGTTCCTGGCCAAAAATATCGAAAAAGTGTGTTTGAAAATGGATTTTTCTAAATATTTCGAAAGTTCAAACTACGGTGAAAAAAATTTACTGTTAAAAAATTGAAAATTTTCTAAAGTTATCCAAAAATCTTCAAAAATTATGGGAAAATACATTTCCATGAACTAATTCAAAAAACTAACGTGCTGATGATTCCAGACCCAGATTTTTCAAAATATGTCAAAAATTGTCCTTTTTTGAATATTCTGGGAAAACTGTTGATAATCTACAAAAAAATGCGGTAAAAAAAATCATACTGGGGGAATTGAAAAATTGAGATTTCTGAACAGTAACCGAAAGATTCAATAACCCAAAAAATTGCCATATTTAAAAAATGGTACTAATTTTCGAAGAGATGAAGCCCAATATAATTTCTAAAAGTTGAATTCTACAAAAAAATGTCTTTAGTTAATTTTCGAAAGTGGTCGAAAAATGATCAAAAATTTCAAAAATTGGTAGATCGAGCTTTTGGAAAAATGGTCTAAAAATCCACAAAAATTCTAGGATTTGGATTCCAACGTACTAATTTGAAAAATATACCGTTTTTATGGTTCCGTACCAAATTTTTGAAATAATCGGCTGAAACGTCAACTTAAAAAAAATCCCAAAATTTCCAACATTTCAATAGGCGATTCTGCAAAAGTGAAAACGAAATGAAGCCGAAAATATCTTCTGGGATCGAGATCTACAACGAAATAAAAGTCCGGCTAATTTTCCAAAGTGGTCGAAAAATTAAATGACGTCATCAAAACGGATCAGATAAATTATGGTTAGGGTTTTATCATTTACATAATATCGTTAAAACATATCTAAAATTTCACAGGTGTTAAATTAGTGTAGTTTCAGAGAATAGTCCGACGAAACGGAAGAACCACTTTTTCATATTCTAAGATTTACGAAACGCCGAAAAAACAAAATTACAAACAAAAATACAAGAGTACGTGGTGGCACAACTAGCAACAATAAATTTGGGAAAAACTGATACAAAAATATTTCAAACACTTGTCTAACAAAGGCATTTGTTGGTCTGTACTTCAGGAGCGAGGGTAAGTCCTCTCGAAATCCCTCTCCACCAATTTTTTAATGCGGAAAAACGTGACACTGCCGACCTCGTTTCGATCAAAAGCACAGATAGAGTTGCCGTATCGAATAAAAAGTCACGTGTTGTCGCGAATATCCATACAAACAGCGTTAAATTCAATTTCCAAGTTTATCTAAGTCGGAGAACTGCAGAGCAGCCGTCGAAATGACCGTATTATCGCTGCAGTGCTAGACAGTTCTCGAGATGCGCTCGTTCCGGAGGATTTTCCTGTCTTTGATTCAATTATTGCTCGGTAATTTAAGTGTGCGGGTTCTCGAGTGGACATAAATCTTCGCTCTGTATAGGAAAAATACTAAAATATGGATATGCGCTTTAAAAAACTGAAATAATGGCCGGCGAGCTTTGCAGCCCGACGGTAATCGGAAAGTAATGATCGATGATTTAGGTATTTGTTTTGACAAAGATTTATTTATTTGCGTCTCACATTTTACGATCTCGTGTAAAATAACTTTGAAAGGATAACCGAATGCGGGGAATTTATGGACGGCTATGCACCAGTTTCGGGATGGGGGAGTAAGCCGCAAATTGGCCCAGTGCGAAAAAATGGGCATTTCAAGGAGCTAATTAACTCGCTGAAGAGGAACAGCGACTCGCGCTGAGTTTGCGAGAAATACGCGCGAATTTTTCTGGAAGAGTTTATTTATTTCGCGTTTGGATAAAGGAAGGACAAAGCCGGCTTAAGGTGGAGCGATTAACGACTCGTTCTTCGCAGTAACCCCCGGCGTAGCCCGTGACGATGCAGCGGGATTCACTACCAAAAATGTCACAAGTGACACGTCCAAAGTTGACAAATAAACTCACAAAATCGAAATGAATATTTATTTACACCGGTGTGAAAGTTGATTAAATAACAAAATTACATTCATATTTTCATATAATGTATGACAGTATAGAGCAAAGAAAAACGATCTTAATTAATCTCGACAATGACAGACTCCTTTTTCGCAGTAGCCCCCTTTGTGTCCCATGGCGATGCAACGAATAGCGCAAAGAGTTTCACTACCGATGACGTCACAGGTAACTCGTCCTAAATAAGGAAAAATAGTACGATTTTTTTCTTTAATTTAAACTTACCATGAGGTTCATCTCCTACTTCATCGTCGAGTGGTAGCGAATTGACTTCAAAAAGAGCAATAGCAAACACTATTGCAAGCAATGTAGCTACGAAGAACTTGTTCATTTTGGTTTCTTGTTGTACTGACGGTAAATGAGAATCCATCGTGTTTATATACGATTTTGGGCGACATTTCCATTGTTTATATCTGTATTTTTTCGATAATTGTTTACCTCGTTGATAAATTTCTAGGTATTTTTTTTGTTTCTACGAATATTGGAAGTACTTAGAACTTCGATCAAGCTTTTCAAAACAATTTCGTCAGGTTAAAGTCAACAATCGAGGAAAATAATAAATATGTTTGTTTTTAATTTGTAGGTATTTTTTTGGGCTGATTAAGTATTTTAATATTTGTGATAAAATTTATGGATACCTATGGGTTAGAAGTAAAACACTTTTTCTGCATGGAGTAAAAAAAATATAATGTTCATAAAATTCAACAAATCGTCTTTTATTTATTATTTATGTACTCGTATAAATGCCAATACGGGACGTGTCATCACAAACACATCTTATGTCTCTGTTTTTATTATTTCTGTATTTTTATTTTTAGATTTTAAGCATTTTTTTGTAATCATCCTATAATCGTTTACAGTCAGATATAAATCGCGGAAAGTTCTCGATTTTATCTATGATTAATAAGTCAACAATTACTGAATTACGTTTTTAAGGTTTTTATCGTGAAATAAACGCATCACTTGATAAGAGGACAATAATGCTTGCATCGTTATCACGTCATCTACTAAGTTGTTGATTTTATGAATAAGTGATGATTTTTATAGGTCAATAAAAAAAATTGAAATTGTTTAGCCGTCTAAAACAAAAAATTCCATAATTTTTCCAACAGTCACTTTAGCTTGATCAGGACAGTGACCTGTCAAAATAGCTCCAATAAAATAGCCCCATGACAAAATAGCAGCGACAAAATATTTCCCGACAAAACAGCCGCATCAAAATAACCCGACGGGAATTTTTGTAGATGAAAAAAGAAATTTTTTTTTTTTTTCACAAAATTAAACTATTTTAAGAATGTACTTTTTGATTTTTATTTATTCACATTTTATCTGAAACAATAGAATGAATCGAAAAATTGAAATTCGAGAAATTGAAAAACTGAACTCAAAAACCGAAGGATTTCTACTTTTGGTTGTCGGTTGTCGAAATAGCCCAAAATCGAAAACTTAAAAATTGAAAAACTGAAAAATTTAAAAGCCAAGAAATAAACTGAAAAATGAAAAAATCGAAAAATTGAGCAATGGAAAAATCGAAATATGGAAATCTCGATAAATCAAGAGAACGAAACATTGAAAAATCGAAAAATGTAAAAACCGAAAAATTAGAAAATGGAAAATTTAAAGTCGAGAATTTTAAAAACTGAAAAAATATATCATTTTAAAATATCCAACAAGCAAAGAATCGAAAAATTGAAAAACTGGGAGATCGGAACATCAAAAAATTGAAAAATTGGAAAATCTAAAATTTAAAAATCGAAAAACAAAAAAATCTAGAGACAGAAAACTATAAAAATTGAAGAATCAAATCACTGAAAAATTCTATTACCAAAACATCGAGAAAACGAAAAATCGAAAAATTTAAAATTGAATTTAGAGCTGAAATAGAAGAAATCCCTAAACTGATATATCGAAAAAGTGATAAATCGATGAATTTGAAAAGCTGAAAAATTGAAGAACTGAAAAATGAAAAATGAAGACATCGAAAAGTCGAAACATTGAAAAATCTGAAAATTGAACAATCAAAAATCCGAAAATAGTAAAATTCGAAGAATTTAAAAATCGAAAAATCGGGAAATGGTGACGTTGAGCAGTCAAAAAATCCAAGTCGAAAAATCGATTAATCGAGAAATTCATAATTTAGAAATGCCAAAAGTTGAAAAATTGCAAAATCGAAAAATTCGAAAACCGAAAAATTGAAAAATCGAACAATTGAAGAATGAAATGATTAAAAAATTCTAAAACTTAAACATCGAAAAAGCTAAAATTAAAAAATTCGAATAATTGAAGAATTAATAAATTGAAAAACTGAAAGAATTAAGAATCGAAATGTAAAAAATCCCCATACTGAAATATCCAAAAATAGATAAATCGATAAATTGAAAAACTGAAAAATCGAAGAAAAGTCGAAAAATTCTAAAAATTTAAAAATCGAAAAATCGAGACGTCGTGCAATCGAAACATTTACAACCCCAAAAGTTGGAAAATTGAAAAAATCGAAAAATTGAAAAATCAGAACGGAAATATCGAAAAATTCAGAAATCGAGAAATAAAAAATTCAAAAATTGAAATGTCCTAAAATTAAAGTATCGAAAAATGAAGAAATCGAAAAATTGAAATTTGAGAAATTGAAAAACTGAACTGAGAAATTGAAAAACTGAACTGAGAAATTGAAAAACTGTACTGAAATTTTGAAAAACTGAGAAAAGTGAAATAACAAAAAAATCATAAAGCTGAAACCTCAAAAAATTAAGAAATCAGAAAAAGCTCAAATTTAAAAAATCGAATAATTAAAATGTCGAAAAATTGAAGAATTAATAAACTGAAAAACTGAAAGAATTAAGAATCGAAATGGTAAAAAATCCCCATATTGAAATATCCAAAAATAGATAAATCGATAAATTGAAAAACTGAAAAATCGAAAAAAAATCGAAAATTTTGAACAATTTAAAAATCGAAAGATCGTCATGCAATCGAAACATCGAAAAATCCATTAATCAAGAAATTGAAAATTTACAACCCCAAAAGTTGGAAAATTGAAAAAATCGAAAAATTGAAAAATCATAGAACGGAAATATCGAAAAATTCAGAAATCGAGAAATAACAAATCGAAAAATTGAAATATTCTAAAATTAAAGTATCGAAAACTGAAGAAATCGAAAAATTGAAATTTGAGAAATTGAAAAACTGAACTGAGAAATTGAAAAACTGTACTGAAATTTTGAAAAACTGAGAAAAGTGAAATAACAATAAAATCATAAAGCTGAAACATAAAAAAATTAAGAAATCAGAAAAAGCTCAAATTTAAAAAATCTAATAATTAAAATGTCGAAAAATTGAAGAATTGATAAATTGAAAATTCGAAAAACTGATAACTCGAAAAAACACTGAAGATCAAAAAATTTAAAATATCAAAAATTGAGAAATTAAGTCGTCGAGGAATAGAAACATCGAAAAGTCGAGACATTGAGAAATCGAAAAATCAAAAAACGATTAAACGAGCATCGAAAAATTTAGAATTCGAAAAATAAAAATCGAGCAACTGAAGAATTGAAAAATTGACATCCTAAAATTGAAGTATCGAAAAATGAAGCAATCGAAAAATTGAAATTTGAGAAATTGAAAAACTGAACTGAGAAATTGAAAAACTGTACTGAAATTTTGAAAAACTGAGAAAAGTGAAATAACAAAAAAATCATAAAGCTGAAACCTCAAAAAATTGAGAAATCAGAAAAAGCTCAAATTTAAAAAATCGAATAATTAAAATGTCGAAAAATTGAAGAATTAATAAACTGAAAAACTGAAAGAATTAAGAATCGAAATGGTAAAAAATCCCCATATTGAAATATCCAAAAATAGTTAAATCGATAAATTGAAAAACTGAAAAATCGAAGAAAAATCGAAAATTTGGAAAAATTTAAAAATCGAAAGATCGTCATGCAATCGAAACATCGAAAAATCCATTAATCAAGAAATTGAAAATTTACAACCCCAAAAGTTGGAAAATTGAAAAAATCGAAAAATTGAAAAATCATAGAACGGAAATATCGAAAAATTCAGAAATCGAGAAATAACAAATCGAAAAATTGAAATATTCTAAAATTAAAGTATCGAAAACTGAAGAAATCGAAAAATTGAAATTTGAGAAATTGAAAAACTGAACTGAGAAATTGAAAAACTGTACTGAAATTTTGAAAAACTGAGAAAAGTGAAATAACAAAAAAACCATAAAGCTGAAACATAAAAAAATTAAGAAATCAGAAAAAGCTCAAATTTAAAAAATCGAATAATTAAAATGTCGAAAAATTGAAGAACTGATAAATTGAAAATTCGAAAAATTGATAACTCCAAAAAACACTGAAGATCAAAAAATTGAAAATATCAAAAATCGAAATTGAGAAATTAAGTCGTCGATCAATCGAAACATCGAAAAGTCGAGACATTGAGAAATCGAAAAATCAAAAAATGATTAAACGAGCATCGAAAAATTTTGAATTCGAAAAATAAAAATCGAGCAACTGAAGAATTGAAAAATTGACATATCCTAAAATTGAAGTATCGAGAAATGAAGCAATCGAAAACTTGAAAAATCAAATAACTGGAAAATCCTAAAACTGAAATAGAAAGAGAAGTCGAAAAATCGAGAAATCCTAAATTCAAAAAGCCAAAAATTCTACGTTTAGTGAAATTATTATAGCACCTAGTGTATTTATTACGACACGCGATTGCGTATTTATCATAATAAATTTATTTTAGGTCACAAGTTACACCTGACAAGTGGATATAACATATAAGTTATATGTTACGAAACTAATAAATACGCTCATAAAATTAAAACCAGCATTTATTTATATGTATCAATGTGAATGATGAATGATGATTAACTAACAAAATGTCATTAACATACTTAAGTATATTGTAGGTAACAATGTAGTTAGTCTGTAAATATAATTTGCTTTAAACCAACACAAGGAAAATTACATTTGTCAGACTTTTACGCAAATAGGAATATTTTTACTAAGAAGGTATTCAATCTCGGCAATGGCAGACTCCTTTTTCGCAGTAGCCACCTTTGTGTCCCATGGCAATGCAACGGATGGCACAAAGAGTTTCACTACCGATGACGTCGCAGGTAACTCGTCCTAAATGGTAAAAAAAAAAAATAAAACAAAAAATTAAGAAAAAAAGTCAAACTTACCATGAGGTTCATCTCCCACTGGAGCCACTTCATCGTCCAGTGGTAGCGAATTGACTTCAAAAAGAGCAATAGCAAAAACTATTGCAAGCAAGGTAGCTACGAAGAACTTATTCATTTTAGTTATTTGTTGTACTGACGCTAGATGAGAATCCATCGTGTTTATATACGATTTTGGGCGACACTTCCATTGTTTATATCTCTGTACTTTTTTCGATAATTGTTTACCTCGTTGACAAATTTCTAGGTATTTTTTTTGTTTCTACGAATATTGAAAGTACTCAGAACTTCGATCAAGCTTTTGAAAACAATTTCGTCAGGTTAAAGTCAACCATCGAGGAAAATAATAATTATGTTTGTTTTTAATTTGTAGGTATTTTTTTGGGTTGATTATGGGTTTGAATATTTGTGATAAAATTTATGCATATAACAGTTTTTCTGCATGGAAAACCATCGACAGAAGTTGTTACGTTGACAGATGAGTAAAAAAAATATAATGTTCATAAAATTCAACAAATCGTCTTTTATTTATTATTTATGTACTCGTATAAATGCCAATACGAGACGTATCATCACAAACACATCTTATGTCTCTGTTTTTATTATTTCTATATTTTTATTTTTAGAATTTAAGCATTTTTTTGTAATCATCCTATAATCGTTTACATTGAGATATAAATCACGGAAAGTTCTCGATTCCATCTATGATTAATAGGTAAGTCAACAATTACCGAATTACGTTTTTAAGGTTTTTATCGTGAAATAAACGCATCACTTTATTGATAAGAGGATAATAATGCTTGCATTATTACTGTTATTATCTATTAATTTTTGTTTCACAAAATACAAGTGTTTTAAGGATGTCATTTTTGGTTTTTATTTATTCACAGAAATTTCTAAAATTTATTTATTGAATTTGGGATATTGATGAATCAAAAAGCTGAAAAATCCCAACCCCAGAATTGAAAAATGAAGTAATCGAAAAATTGAAATTCGAGAAATAGCCCTAAATCGAAAAATTGAAAAACTCAAAACTTTAAAATCGAGGCTGAAAAATTGAAAAATCAAAAAATTGAGAAATGGAACAATCGAAAAATCGAACCATGGAAATTTCGATGTATCGAGAAATTGAAAGTTTGAAAAATCGAAAAATCAAAAAATTTTCAAACTGAAACATTGGAAAATCGAAAATTAAAAATTTTAATAGTAGAAAAATTCAAAATCCGAATATTTAAAGCGGAGAAGTCGATAAAATCTAAAAATCCAGCAATTAAAATAAAACATCAAAAATATATTAAAGAATCAAGGTCGAGCGTCATAGAATTGGTGAAAAATTGAGAAATCGAAAAATATATAATTTTAAAATATCGAAAAATTGAAGAATTGGAAAATTGAAAAATTGGGAGATCGAAACATTAAAAAAAAATCGAATAATCAAAATGTCGAAAAATTGAAAAATTACTTAAGAAGCGAAAAGAGTAAAAAATCCCCAAACTGAAATATAGAAAAACTAAAAAATTGAAGAATTGAAAATTAAACATCGAGAAACTGAAAAGCGAAAAATCGAAAATTTCAAAAATAAGAAAAATGAAAAATCAAAAACCTGAAAAATCGAAAAATTTGAGGAATTGAAAAACCAAAAAAAAAAAAATCTGGAAATCTAGATGTCGAGCAATCGAAAAATCGAAGTCAAGATATTGAGAAAACGAAAAATAAAAATCGAGCAATTGAAGAATCGAAAACTTGAAATATTCTAAGAAGTAATCAAAAGGTTAAAATTTGAGAAATTGAAAAGCTGAACTGAAACTTTTGAAAGATTGAAAAATCGGAAAATTGAAAAACGGAAAAATTGAAAAATAACTGAAAATTTTCTAAAACATCGAAAAAGCTCAATTTAAAAAAAATCGAATAATTAAAATCTCGAAAAAATTGAAGAACTGATAAATTGAAAAATTGAAAGAATTAAGAATCGAAATGGTAAAAAATCCACAAACTGAAATGTCGAAAAGCGGAAATCTCGAACGAAATTTGAAGAATTGAAAAATTGGAAAATTTAAAAATCAAGACCCTGAAAAATGAAAAAAATTTGAATAATCTAAAAATCGAGAAATCAAGAAATCGAGACGTCGAGCGTCGCGCAATACAAATATCGAAAAGTCGAGAAACAGAAATCGAGAACTCAAAAAATAGAAATCGAGAATTCGATTAAACAAGAAACCGAAAATTTACAAACGCCAAAAGTAGGAAAGTTGAAAATTGAAGAATCGAAAAATTGAAAAATCATAGAACGGGAATATCGAAAAATCGAGAAATTGATGAATGGAAAAATTGAAATTTCCTAAAATCGAAGTATCGAAAAATGAGGTAACCGAAAAATTGAAATTTGAGAAATTAAAAAACTGAACTGAAATTCTAAAAAGAAATTGAAAAATCGAAAAATTGAAGAATCAAATAACTAAAAAATTCTATAACTGAAAAATTAAGAAATCGGAAATTGAAACCAAATTTAAAATTTAATAAACCGAATATTTAAAATATCGAAAAATTGAAGAATTGATAAACTGAAAAATAGAAAAGTTGATTAATCGATAAATCGAAACACTGAAAATTCGAAGAAAAATTAAACAATAGAAAAACTGAAAGATTATTAAATCGAAAAGTCGAAAAATCGAAAATTTCAAAAATTGGAAAATTGAAAAATCAAAAACCTGAAAGGCCGAAAAATAAAGAAATCGGTGAAATCGAAAAATTGAAGAATTGGAAAACGGAAAAATCGAGAAATTCAGCCGTCGAGCAACCGAAATATCAAATAGTTGAGGAATTGAGAAATCGAAAAATAAAAAAATCGAAGTCGAAAAATCGAGAATTTACATCACCAAAAGTTGAAAAATTGAAAAACTGAAGAATCAGAAACTTGAAAATCATAGAATGGAAAATCGAAAATCGAGAAAATCCTAAAACTAAAGTATCGAAAAATTAAGTAATCAAAAAATTGAAATTCAGGACAATAATAATAATAAAATAATAAATAAATAGATTTATTGTCCAACAGAACATAAACATTCCCTTTAGAGAATGTAACCTAAAAATTAAATTGATAATCCACTGACACTGAAAAACTGAATTGAAAATTTTGAAAAATTGATAAATCGATAAATTGAAAACTGAAAATCGAACAAAAATTGAAGAATTGAAAAATTGAGAAATAGAGAAATCCAAAAACTTGAAAAATTGAAAAATTGAACCATTGAGAAGCTAAAAAATTGAGCAACCGAAACATTAGAAAAAATGAGAAATCGAAAAATCAAAAATCGAAGTCGAAAAATCTATGAACCCAGAATTCTAGCACCAAAAGTTGGAAAATTGAAAAATTGAAGAATCAAAAAGTTGAACAATCGAAATATTGAAATGTCTTAAAATTGAAGAATTGATAAATAAAATCTAAACGATCAAAAACGTGGAAGATCGAAAAATTGAAGAATCCCAAAATTCGAGAATCAAAAACTTGAAATTCGAGGAAAGAAAAACTAAACTGAAAACATCGAAAAACTAAGAAATCAGAAGTTGAAAAATCGAGAAATCGTAAAATCGAAAAGCCAAAAATTCGAAAAATTGTTATACAACTTTGATTTTTTTTTCCAAAAATTTCAAGGCTTAGGAAAAAATGCAACAGGGATTCATAAACAGGGTGTGATTTTGTCAGTACATATGCGGTCCTAAAAAAGGTAGTCCAATTAAAAAATTTTTAAATCTCTTACTTCTCGTGAGCAAATAATAATGGAACTTTTTGTTTAAATCACTTGCTCATGTACTATGTTGCGCTAATAAAAAACATACATGAAAAACAGATGTGAAAACATTGGCACCCCTAATTAACAAAAGTTGTAGATAGTAAAACACTGTATCTAAATCACTCTTTATTCTCTTTGTAACATGTGTCAATCAAATAAAATTCATTATTTTGTTATAATAAATTTATTTTAGGTTATACCTGACAACAAATCGAATATATTTAAAAAAAGAACATCATATCGCAGGACCTGACGCTAACAAAAAAATATCTTGGCCTACTGCGTGTTTGAAACAATCGTTGTGTGCGGTGAACTCTTAAAATTATATATTTCTTATAACTCTTAGTTTTTATATTTAAAAATTCTAAAATGTATCCATATTTAAAGTTTCTCAATTCGTCGACAATGAAAATTTTCCATTCCATTTATATGTTACGAAAGTAATAAATGCGCTCATAAAATTAAAACCAGCATTTATTTATATCAATGTGAATAATGATTAACTAACAAAATGCCATTAATATACTTAAATATATTTTAGGAAACAATGTGGTGACTATAAGTATAATCTGTTTTAAACGTATAATCTGTTTTAAACACTAAACCAACATAAGGAAAATTACATTTTGTCAGACTTTACGCAAATAGGAATATTTTTAGCTAATTAATCTCGACAATGACAGACTCCTTTTTCGCAGTAGCCTCCTTTGTGTCCCATGGCAATGCAACGGATGGCGCAAAGAGTTTCACTACCGATGACGTCGCAGGTGATTCGCCCTAAATGGCAAAAAAAAACATAAAACAAAAAAAATTAAAAAAAAAGCCAAACTTACCATGAGGTTCATCTCCTACTGGAGCCACTTCATCGTCGAGTGGTAGCGAATTGACTTCAAAAAGAGCAATAGCAAAAACTATTGCAAGCAAGGTAGCTACGAAGAACTTGTTCATTTTGATTTCTTGTTGTACTGACGGTAGGTGAGGATCCATCGTGCTTATATACGATTTTGGACGATAAGTGTTTATGTTAGAACTTTAGCCCTTAAAGTTTGTAACAACTGTTTACCGTACTGATAATTTTTTTATCGGTAATTTTTTTTGTTTCCACGAATTTCGAGAGTTTCTGTTAATTTGTTCAAAACAATTTCGTCAGATGACGAGCAATCAACAAAATACAATAATGATTTTCGGTATATCGAAGGAAGATTTGTTTTAATCACCTTACTTTAATACGTCAATAATTCGTTAATCATCTCACGAAATGAACAGATTTTGCTACTGATAATGTCGATTTTATCAATGTTTTTAAATCTGACGATTTTATTTTGACTTTTCCCGTTGAGGGAGTTATGATTGAAGAAAAACAAATTGTTTTTACATATTCCATGTTGACGTCACAATTTTTAGGGAAATTTTCTCTCGTACATTTTATTTTTTTTTGAGAAAATATGATTGGTAAAATTATTGAGCGATTGAGCAAGTTCGTAAAAACACCATATTTGTAAAAGAGACCGGGTAAAATCAGCGCCGCAAGCAGCTCCCGCATGGCCATACAAGAAAAAATGCTTTTTAATTAATTTTAAAAGCGCCGAACACGCAAATAGAGCAACCCAACAATAAAAAATACACACCTCCTAATAAAAATTTCATCCCAGTTTGCAGGGCGCTTTAAATTTTCATTAGGGCATTTTCCAACTTTAAGCCGGCATTTACCTTTGTTATTTTGTCACATCCCTTGTGTACCGCCCCACTCAGCGTAACATCTCTTGCGAACAAATACAATAAAACTGATGCATACGTAATTTTACGCGACCCACACAAATTCAAAACAGGACCATTCGCTTTTATGTGAAATTCCATTTTAGTATTCATACCAGCCGAGTTGCAGAAAGCCGTCGATAAAATTTGTTTATGTACAATTTCTGGTGTTACGTTCGGAAAGAAATTAGGCTGGCGAAAAAGCGGACCGCAAGGCCTCGTTCCCGCCTCGGCGTATCGTTTTACACACTTTCGTTCCAGCGCCAAAACCGGCGCTGACAGAAAAGTTGAGCCCTTTGAGCAGCGACACGCGGTTCACATAACAAGGGACATTCGAGCCGGGGCTAACGAGCGCAGCCCCGCTTAAAAATTCCCGCGACGTAAGGTTGTAAAAGGGATATCTATAAATTACGGGCGATGATAAGTAGAGAATCGCCCTCCGCGGGCCCGGGTTACGTCCCGGCTTTTTCTTTATATGCAGTAAATCTTAATTGAATCATAATATTTTGCGGCGGAGTGCCGTTTCGGCGCGGAGTGGCTTGTCGGGCTTTGGGGGGACCTGATCGGGCTGTGTTCGACTTTCGGCGAAAAAGAGCCAAATCGGATTTGAGGTGAAATTATGTGTAACCGCGTTTTTATGACGGCTGCCTCGTTCGTATCAGGCCAATATTAAATTTTATTGCGGCCAGATATGGCCGGGCGAGGATTATTGGGGAGATAAATGCTTACTAAGTATACTAAAGTCTGTATTTTATGTTTATCATAATTCTGCATATCACGGGAATTCATTATCCCGGGGGATTATGCGGCCGGAGTTGGCAGGAGTTATTTCTGCCCGCTCGCTCACTGACTGTGTAACAAGTGGACGGTTTCGACGATGTTCCGAAAGTCATTCATTTCGGTTCAGATTTTTTACTCAGGAGTATCATCGCAGAAATCATAGTTTTAACTAGAGCTGGATTGTGGTTTTAGTACAAGTCAAAGGACTGTCTTTTCGGGAATAATTTACGTGAGAAGGTCAAATTCAGCTAGAAACTAGCTCGTCTTCTATTTCTGCGTCGGTTTTTGGTTTAGACGTGGTGGAAGCGTGAGCGTCGTTAACGAGCTGAGAATATACGATTACGATCTAATAAGATTTCGCAACAATAGGTTTCAGAAGACAGTCCTCGAGTCGTCAAAGGTTTATTTATTATCTGGCTTCTCAAAATTTCCGCTTGTTTTGATATTTTGTAGTTCAATTTACGTTTTTATCTGACGAAAGTTATTTGTTATTGGAAAGTTTTACTTTATAAACATTGGAAAGTTGTTAGCTTTTGACTTCAAAAGTATGTTATTGTTTTCCTTCGGTGTGGTAATTAGTGAGGGTTGGATAATGTAGGCACAGAGAGCAAAATAAAAATTAAGCACAATATTCCATTTCTATATGAAATAGACGATTTTCTAAACGATAGTCCGTGGATCTATGAAATTGTGTGATCTTGTTGTCATATCGTCTCTATATTTCTCGAATTTCAGTTTTTCGACTCTTCAATCTTTTAGTTTTTCAATTATCCAATTTTGGGCTTTTTCAGTTTTTCGATTCGTAAATTTCTCAATTTTCCGATACTTTTGTTTTTAAATTTTACGGTTTTTTGGGGTTTTTGATTTATAAATTTTTCGATATTTCAGTTTTGGGATTTTTGAACATTTCGGTTTTTAAAAGTTTGCGACTTTTCGTTTCGATTTTTCGATTATTTTATCTTTTCGGTTGTCAGACTTTTCAATTTTTCGATTTTTTTATATATCGATTTTGGATATTTAAATTTTTAGCCATATTTTTGTTTTAATTTTTCAATTTCTTAATGTTTCGATTTTGTCAGCTTTCGATTTTTCGACTTCTCGGTGTTGGATTTTTCAATTTTTTGATTTCTCGATTTTCAACTTCCGATTTCTCAGTTTTTCAAAATTTCAGTTCTACGATTTTTCAGTTATTTGATTTTTCAAATTTTCAGATTCTCGATTACATCGTTTTTCGATACTTCAGTTTTGAGATTTTTTTAAATTTTTCGATTCAATTTCTCAATTTTTTAGAAATTTTTGATTTTTCGATTTTTTATTTTTCAGTATTTCGACTAAATTTTTCGGTTTTTCAATTTTTTGCGTCTCTAAATACTCCATTTCTCGATTAACTGAATTTTCGACTCTCCGCTTTCTCGATTTTTTTATTTTTCGGTTACACGAGGTTTCATTTTTTCGATTTTTCTATTTATCAATTTTTTGATACTTCAATTTTTGGATTTTTTGGTTTTTCGATTCGTCAATTTCTCAGTTTTCCGATATTTCTCTGTTTCAATTTTGGACTTTTCCATCTGTCGATTTTTTGCAATTCTGCAATTTTTGTGGGTTTTTGATTTATAAATTTTTCGATATTTCAGTTTCGGGATTTTTCAATATTTCGGTTCTTAAATTTTGCGAGTTTTCGTTTCGATTTTCTGAATTTTTGATATATCGATTTCTTGCTTTTCCAATTTTCGATACTGCAATTTTTCGACATTTTAATTTTTTTTTTCACATTTTTTGATTCTCGTTTTCTCGATTTTTCAGTTCTTTGATATTTATATTTTCCAAGTTTTCGATTTTTTTGTTAGATTTTTCAATTTCTTGATGTTTTGATTTCGCCATCTTTCGATTTTTCGACTTCTCGGTGTAAATTTTTAAATCTTTAATTTATCGATTTTTCAAATTTTTAGTTTCTCAATTTCGATTAGGTACATCGTTTTTCGATACTTCAGTTTTGGGATTTTTCAATTTTTCGACTAAATTTTTTGGTTTTTTAATTGTTGCCGTTTCTAAATATCCGATTTCCCGTTTTTGTCGAATTTTCGACTCTCGGATTTCTCGATTTATGACAGTTGAACTTTTAGATTTTTCGATTGCTCGAGGTTTTGTTCTTCCGGGGTCTCGTTTTCCCGATGTTTCAAGTTTGAGATTGCTCTATTTTTCAATTTTTCGACTTTTCTATTTATCAATTTTTTGGTACTTCAAATTTGGGATTTATTGGTTTTCCGATTCGTTAATTTCTCAATTTTTCGATATTTCTGCTTTTCAATTTTTTGCGGTTCTAAATTTTCGGTTTATCGATTTTTTAACTTTTTCGACTTTTACAACATTCGATTTTTTTATTTTTCCATTTCTCGACTTCTCAACTTTTCGATTTTTCAATTTTTAAAATTGCGCAATTTGTCAATTTTACAATTTTTTGGGTTTTTGATTTATAAATTTTTCGATATTTTAGTTTTGGGATTTTTCATCATTTCGGTTCTTAAAGTTTGCGAGTTTTCGTTTCGATTTTTCGATATTTTAATTTTTTGATTTTTTATGTTTTAAATTTTTATTCAAGTCTCAATTTTCCAGTTATTGGATATTTACATTTTCGAATTTCTAGATTTTTTTTTATTTTTCAATTTTTTGATTTCTTGATTCTTTAACTTCCGATATCTCAGTTTTTCAGTATTTCAGTTTTAGGAGTTTTCAGTTATTTGATTCTTCAATTTATCGATTTTTCAATTTTTCAAATTTTCAAATTTTCAATTCCTTGATTTCGATTACATCGTTTTTCCATACTTCAGTTTTGGGATTTTTTTCATTTTTCGGTTCAATTTTTCGATTGTTTATTTTTTAATTTTCTGATACTTCCGTTTTACGATTTTTCAAATTTTCTACTAAATTTTTCAGTTTTTCAATTTTTGGCGTTTCTAAATGCTCAATTTCTCGATTAGTCGAAATTTTGACTCCCCGATTTCTCGATTTTTTGACTGTTCGACTTCTTAATTTTTGGGGGTCTCGTTTTCTTGTTTTTTCAAGTTTTCGATTTTCAAGGTTTTCGATTTTTCATACTTCAATTTTGGGATTTTTTGGTTCTTCGATTCATCAATTTCTCAGTTTTCCGATATTTCTGTTTTTGAATTTTTCAATTTTTTGCAGCTATAAATTTTCGGTTTATCGATTTTTTGGCTCTTTGGACTTTTCTTTCGATTTTTTGATTTTCCCATTTCTCGGCTTCTTAACTTTTCGGCATTTCAATTTTTAAAATTCTGCAACTTGTCATTTTTACAATTTTTTGGATATTTATAAATTTTTCGATATTTCAGTTTTGGGATTTTTCAACATTTTAGTTTTTTGATTTTTTAATTTTTTTTTTCTCGTTTTTTCGATTTTTCAGTTTTTGGATATTTGTTTCTTAGTTTTTCAGTATTTTAGTTCAAGGA